GCCTCTCCCTCCCACAATGCACCACTGCTCTGTGATTAGCTGACAAAGAAAGGAGCTGTGGTCCATTTACAGCCTCCGTCTCTGTGATTGGGCCCCGCTGGCGTCCAGGAGAATCTACTGAGCACCTTCAGGCTCATTGTGCTCGTTTCACTGCCCTGAAATTTTACTGTCACAGCTGTTTTTTCCAGCAGCTGTTAAAGGAAAACTCTGTTATTCTGAGTTCAAACTCACAGAGAAACTCAATTTAAAGCAGAAAAACGCCCTCCAGCTCATAGAGAAACTCAGTTTAAAACAGAAAAACGGCCTCAAACTCAAAGGGCAACTCAGTTTATAGCAGAAAACGACCTCCAACTCATAGAGAAACTCGGTTTAAAGCCGAAAAACGGACTCGTTTTGGTTCAAACTCGCAGATAAACTCAGTTTAAAGCAGGAAAATGGCCTCAAACTCACAGAGAAACTCGGTTTAAAGCCGAAAAACTGACTTATTTTGGTTCAAACTCACAGATAAACTCAGTCTAACCAGCCTTAACCAGCCCCCCTCCCTCGGTGGGTCCCTGTTGAGCCGCCGCCCCCCGGATGGCGAGCAGGGCGGCCATGTTGGAGCCCCAACAGCTGGAGCTCCAGCAGCTGCTAGTGGAGGCAAACAGCAGCTGCATCCAGTAGCATGTGCCCCCCCCCCCCCCCCAGATAAGCCACCAGATGCTGTTTGGGTGCTGCGATGACGTGGCCTACTGTACCAAAACAGCTCCGATAAGGCAGTACAGTGGGGGGGGCGGAGACGCCGACCAGCGTGTTCCATGTTTAGGGAACACGGGACACGCAGAGTCTGGAGGCAGATATCAGCCAGACGGGGTAGGGTTAGGTTAGGTTAGGTTAGGTTATGGGTAAGGGTCAGGTTAGGTTAGGTTAGGTTATGGGTAAGGGTTAGGTTAGGTTAGGTTATGGGTAAGGGTTAGGTTAAGTTAGGTTATGGGTAAGGGTTATGTTAAGTTAGGTTAGGGTTAGGGGTTAAGTTAGGGGTAGGAGTTAGGTTAGGGATAAGTTAGGGGGAAGGGTTAGAGTTAAGGTTTCTAGACTTTGTCCTGGTACAGGTTGTTTTTCTTCATAGGCTTAGTGGGTGTATCTTTATATTTAAAATGTTTGTTTAGAGATTTCATTAAATGTTTTTGCTATTTGGTTCTGAGGGTCCAAATGACAACATTTTAATTCCACAATAAGAACATGATTGGTGTAAAACGTCTAATACATTTTCCTTTAGATTTCAAACAGTAAAAAAGCAGTAAAAGCTGAGATTTCTGAACTCTTTGAACACAACAAAGGGTTCCCTTCATCTTAAGACCTAAAAAGCTGATTTTTCAATGATTGTCCGGAGATTTCCCCAAAAATGTTCCATTTAAATGGATCACACACAGTATCCTCTCCTTTCTCAGGTCACATTGGACAGCATGCCCTGCTCCCATTGGCCCGTTTGTGTGACTGAGCCCTGGTTTGAATTCTCTAAATGTCTAAAAGCATTTTCCTTTATATTTAGATTTAAAATGTCTGTCTGTATGTTCCATTAAAAGTTCAGAGTAGAGAAAATGAGGCCAGCTCCTCCATGTGGGACCTCTGGAACCATTCAGACCCAGCCAAGGCCTGAATGGGCCTCATAAAGGGGGCGGGGCCTGAATTGGCCTCGTAAAGGGAGCGGGGGGTCACAGACCCGGTGGGGGTCAGATCTGACCCCCTTCAGAGAGGTTTGAGTCACTGTCAGGTCAGCTGCTCAATTTTTACTGTTTTCATTTCTCTGCTTTAAACGCTTCAGATAAAACATCCACTCATTGGTCTCCCCTAAAGAAGTTATGTTTGAATATTTAATGCTTCATGAATTAAATCAGTCTTAAATCTCTATTTTATTTGATCTTTTCTTCATCTTTTGTTTTCTTTTAGAGAGCAAAGACTCATTTTATGCCCATTTTGCCATCTTAATAATCAGATTTGCCCTCCTGCTGCCTCAGTTTCTGAGTCCTGACTGTTTTCCTTCTGTTTGGGTCTGAATGGGATAAATTACCAAAAATGATTAAATTAATCAGAATTTTTCAAACGTACTTCCTGCTTTTTTCCTCCAGAATCAGCTCTGATTTCCACTAAATGAGCTCTGTTCCAGCAGATGTTACAGACAGAAGTGGAAACATGTGTTCAAGAGCTGGAAACAGGTTGATTTCAGAGCAAAAACAGACTCAGTTTAACTGAGAGGAAATTTATATTTATATATTATGTCTTTTTGAATACTTTTATTTATATTTTTATAAATGAATTTAAAATAAAAACCTGGGAAATAGCCAGGTTATTATTAATATTATTTAGTATTGTAATGTCAAGATGTGTAAAAATGTATCAAATGAAGCTCCATACTTTTAAGTCAAACTATTATAAAATGTATGATTAAGGAAGTAACTTAGCTTAGCATAAACAGTTAGCTGAATTTTAAAGCTACTTAGCTTAGCATAAACAGCTAGCTGATCTCTAAAGCTACTTAGCTTAGCATAAACATTTAGCCGATGTCTGAGAGCCAAAATCCAGCCGACAAACTTCTGACGAGCCTTGTTTGTGTTTGTGTTTCTGTGTTGTTGTAGTTCTGGCTGGATCCGGCGTGTCGTATCGGCGGTCAGATAGCCGCGTGTAGCCTAGCGTGTTGTTATGCAACCGGCTCTGATTGGGCTGAAGTTCACAGGGATAAAGCGGCTGTTTGGGTTAGCGGCCGCTGACGGAGCTGCGCTTCTGTTTGGGAACGCTGCTTGCTGCAGGTGCAGCCAATCGTGTTTGTTTTGGAAAA